AAAATAAAATTAAAATAATTAAAAACTTTTGTTATTAAACTTAATAAAATTTCTGAAAGAATTAATTATAATTTTTATATAAATTTTTACTACAAATTTAAAACATTTTATTTTCTATTTTTATAATTTAATAATATGTTAAAATTGTATGTAATTAGTTATTCCATAGGAATGATTTTAATATTTAATGATCGAACTATATTTAAGCTATAATTTAAATCAGTAGCCCATTAAAGACATATTTTCCCATTTAATTAGAGTTAATTATCATCCGAATAAAAGGTTTTGTATGGCTTATAGCTTTTCAATTAGTCAAACGTGTTCATTCATTTATGGAATCACAATAAAAACGAATCAATTTTTAATGCAAGCTTATCAAATATTCATTTTTATTTTAAGTACCATTTGTAAGCTAAGTAGCTATAAAAAATACCGTATCTATAATTGTAATTGCCCAACTTTAAACGCTTCCAAATTAGTTTTAGAAAAAGAAACACATTATATATTATTATATAATAAAAAATCATATATTTTTGCTATGTATGCTATAATAATGCATTATTGAAAGGCAACAATATGGCTCTACCCATGCTTTATGCGCTTCATTATTGTTATTATTGAAGTGAAATTGTGTATTCGACAATTTTAATTGATTTCTTTCGGTATTTGTTTAGTTTTTGTATACAGGCGAAAAAAATGAATCCGAAATGCTCATGAATAATGCTAAAAAGCAAGAGCAGCAGCTAAATGTTGTTCACTATACAAAACTAATAACAATAATATTGCTGATTAAGCATTAATCAAAGCTGTGCTGACAACAAAAAGTAGCGCTGGGAAAAGAAACAATAGGCTCGAGCCAAAAAAAAAAGGGGGGAAGAAGAAAAATGAAAAGGGAAAGCTAAATATGTCTGGCTATTCAGAGTTTATCAGAGATTATTAGACTTAGTCTTAATTATATAGAAAGGTTTGCATTTTAATATGGATTTTTTAATTTAGTTCGTGTAAAATAAATAAAACAACGAGTTTTCCCGTACGATAAGCAGCTGCTGATAAGCCCCGCTGCCTGGTTAACATTTCTGTAGTTGCTGACGGCGACGCCGACACCGACGTCGACAGCGATGTCAACCGAAAACCGAAAGCATATGGCCAGCATATGACCGAAACAATAGTTAAAGAGAGAGCGAGCAAGTGAGTGAGAGCTTTTGAAAGCTCGCTCTTAGACGCGCGGCGCGGCCTTGGCATTGCGTTGGTTCACTCGCAACAGCTGTTCGTGGCAGCGATTCGTTCAAGGTTCGATTGCAGACGAGCTGTAAGTCAGTTGTACGACGCCAGCGAAGGCGTGCGGTTGTCGATATATGCGTAGCGCATTCGTGTAATATCCGTTATTATTTGAAATTATCAAACAAATAAAAATACAAAATTAAAAGAAACGTGTGCATAACAATAGTTCTAAAGTACTTATTAAATTAATTTAATCAGTTTTTCATGCTGTGCAATTTGTGAAGTGAATGAATAAAAACTCAAAAGAAATATACATATATACACATATACATATATACATATATATATACAAATCAAGCGAAAATAATGTCAAACAAATCAATGGCATGCAGCAGCGGCAGCAGCAGCTGTAGCATGTTGCTGCTGTTGCTGCTATTGCTGCCGGCAATGCCAAACGCTGCTGCAGCAAAGGCTGCACGACGCGCCCGGATAACAGCCAATGGCAGCAGCAGCAGCGGCAGCAACAACAATAGTCTCAACGAGCCGTTGACAGAGGCCCAACAGGCAATAACAGCAGCCGCAACAAAATTGAAAACATCCACAGACAGCAGCAGCAGCAGCAACAACAACAACAACAATGCAGACAGCAAATATGGTAAGTCCTATATAAAAAGCGAAAAAATGGGCAGATGTCCCCCCACTCAAAACACACTCGCTCCCTGCAACGTTGTCTGGCATTTGTGGTCGGCGCGGAGAGCTGCTGCCTAATTGCATGTGGTCACGATTTGTGAACTGGCAACGTGTGCATTTCTTGCAACAGCAGCTTGTTTGCAACAGCCCAACATTGCAACAAAAAAGGGCAGCCCTTGGCAGCGAAATTGTTTCACGCTTTAGCGGCAGCAGCAAAACTGAAAGCTGAAAACAAAAGACTTAGGCAACAAACTTGTGGCCAGCGCTAATTTAAGCTATTTTATGCCAATCAAAGCCATGCACAAATGTTTCCTGTCCAAGCCAGCAAAAGAGGCCGCGACCCGCCCCAGAACCGCAGCAAAAGAAAAAAGAAAAACAGAAATATAAATAAATATATGGGAGAAAATAAGCCAACGGAAATTGCGGCAACATTTTTAATGATAAGCTAGCGAGAGCAAAAGTGTCATTAGAGCTGGCTAAAATGCCGGGGCTTAGGCCCCAAATAAGCCGATCATTAGCCGAAAAGTCAGCATTACATAACACTTAACAAGTGCCGCGTCATGTGGCATGCCACGCTGAGTGAGTGAAAAGTGCTGATCGAGCAAACACAAAAAAAAAAAAAAAAAAACATTTATCAAGCGTTTTATTTGCTGATGCTGCAACTGGAACTGCAACTGACAGCACTCGGCCAGTTTGTCAACAGTTTCTAATCTGTTTTTGGCTAAACTTGATGGGAATAGAAAATGATGAAGATGTCGCCTGGCTGTTCTATTGGCAGTTCTCTGCAGAATGGTGTCAATGCTTGAATTTTCACTTTTCCATGTCGCCTACAGCAGATACTGCGCACTTTTTTCTTCTCTTTGTGTGAAATTCGCCTAAATGTCGAATGCTACAGCAGCAGCAGAGGCAGCAGAAGCATCAGCAGCACGGAGGCGGCTTGGCGAATCTGAAATTGGTGTCAATGATTTCAACATGGGAAAATCCACAAGCAACAGCAACAGCAACAGCAGCGGCCACAGCGACAGCGGCAACAAACAAACATGCAACAGCAACATTTCAGCTGCTTAGCTTAGAAAATTGCATTTCTAATTGCGCATTATGCAAGGTTCTGGCAATTGGAAATCGGGGAAAACGCACATTTCAGGCTGCAGATGAAAGATATGCCTCAAATGTGTCATAGTCAGAGGCGGGCTGGAAATTTCTAAAAACGGGGCGTGGTTTCAATTAATGGAGTAATGTGATGAGATGTTTGCTTTAACTAGTTATTTGGCGTGGCCAAGACAGTTGTTATCTCTGACGGCGAATAGTTTGATTGACCGCTCAGTTTACCTGTTTAATGGACATTTCAACACGAATATTTCTAGTTTTTACTTTTTTCTTTTATTAGTCTAATATACTAGTTAGATATCTTAAATGGCAAATAGCATTTGACAGTTTGAGTGCAAACATTTCATTCAGCAGGCTTCAGCGGAGGCATGAAAGATAGATATGTATTACAAATTTTCATATCTGTCTCATAAGGAAATCGTGATATGTGCTGGAAGTTTTCTATGTTAACTGAAATATATAAATATAATTAAGTAGATAAATACGAGAATTTAATTTTTTAATTAATTTATTTATTTATAAGGGACACTTCATTTAAAAAAATTCCAATATACAAAATTATTGTTTTTTATATTTTTCTTTAAGTTAAGTTTTTTAGTTAGTTTATTTACCTAATAAAAAACTACGAATATATTTCTGTAAATAGATAAAATAGATTTAGCTTGTATACACGTAATTTGAATTCCGTAAAACTGAAGATTTATTATCAAGGTTAATTACTGAGTAAACTACTGTTATTTTAAAATAGGTTCTTTCATTTTTATATTTAGTAAAATTCTGCAGTTGCCAAAATAAATTATAAATTTTTTAAATTGTATAGTTATTTGAAGCATATACATTTTTTATAATATATAGCTGTTTTATATGACTTCATTCAAATCATGAAATAATTTTAAAATATAATACTTAATTATTTTCTACAAATTTTTCTTTTCTTATTTATTAAAAAAATTGTAGTTCAGTATTATTATCATCAAAGTATTTTTAAGTTATATAATTTTTTTTTTATATATATATTTTTTTTTTGTTTGCTTCTCTCCTATAACATTTTTAGTACATAATTGTACTTAAGCTTGTATTCGTTTAGTCAATTTTTTTACGGCTTTTACTAGAGAGATCTTCTTTTCAGATAACATATCAAAAACCCTAAAACCTTGTCTACCATCAATCAATCATTTTATGCGATTACATTGGAGCTGTAACACAACTTTTTATCATCTTAGTTAACGAAGTCGATTTGTCTTAAAATTAGCTGCAGTATTTGTAATTTGTTGCGCTTCATTTGCCGCTGCTGCTGCGCTTCTTCGTTGCCTTGTGTGGTGCATCGTTTAAGCCACTGAATGTGATTTGGAATGGCTCACAGAGTTGGTTGGAACTGCCATCAGTTAGCTGGACATGCTAATTCCCGGCACACTTCCAGCTAAATCCTCCATCACCTGCGGTGCCACAAAACACGCTCCACACCGAGATCTGATGGCCAGCTACACCACTTAGTGGTGCAACGGCCACAACACACACCAAAAGCAAGTAAAAGAAAAAGCAAAAACTAAACCAAAAGCGAGTCCGAGTCGTAGACGATTTTGTTTTCTTGTTGTTTTGTGAAACAAGTTCTAAAGCGTGGCTGCCTCTTGCCGCTCGCTGCTTTAAAGCCTTTTGCTCTTAACTGATTTGCATGCAAGAAGCGACTTTGAGCTGGGCCCGCAATGAACTGCAGCAAATGCAGTTCGCAGTCCGCAGTCCTCAGTTGCAGTTGCATCAGTTGCTGCAGCCGCAGTTGACTAACCCCATTTTTATATAAGTAGCATTTGTTATTGTATCTGCTTGTATTTGTTTTGTAAACCCCATTTTTCTGAAACCTATTTGGGCCTGCAGAGATACGCGGCGTGGCTGGTGAACCAAATTACAAATCGGTGAATCTGACCTGGGAAGTTGAGTTCGTGACGCCGGCCCATGACACAGATACCCATACGAATGCCAATACCAATACTAATACGGATACGAATACGAATCCGAATACAATTACCAATCCGAGTGGCATTGTGAATGCGAATGGCGTGACAAATATGAGCGGCATTGTCGAACCACCCAAAGCCTTTCAGATCTTCTACTGTGAAATGCAGAACTATGGACCGCAGCGCTGTCGCGTCAAGCTGGTGAATGCCACAGCCGCCGAGCTGCCCACATCTAGCGAGGAATCTGTGGAGTAAGTGCAGCCAACAAAACCTATTCACTTTTCTTTAATTCTACGCTGCTCATTATACACTGTTCACCATGCGGCAGTGGGGTGTATCTATCTAAAAAAAAACTAGAGAGAAATTAAACTTTGGCTAGATTTCCATTTGAATTTAAATAAAAAAAAAATGCATAACTTAAGGAATTTATAGATTTTTCTGTTGAGCTCTTGCCAAAAAAATTGTTGTCTTTGACGGTCTGTCTGTATGCAAACGAAAGCTAGAGATATTGTGAATTGAATAGAATTGAATGAGTAATAAATAGTTATACAAAAAAAATATTAAAAAAAAAATTATCTCTAATCTTTTAATGATCTTCTCTTCATTTAATAAAATATAGATATAAGGAGATAGGCAAGGCTTCTTTATACCCTTCCTTACGCATCCAATATGAATTTTTAGTCTTTTATATATATTTATTATGTCAACAACAGAAATTTGAAAGTAAAATTGTCTGTGAATTTCTCATACCTTTCACTCACTGATTCATACTAGTTAGATCATATTAATCTTTATGTAAATATATTTGCATTATCTTATATATGACTCCCCCACTCCAGTCTGTCCCTTACACCCCACAGTGAACAGTGTATTGCGCAGTCGGTCATAGCCGACTGCTAACTAACGCCCCCCTCAACTCTTTCGCAGCGCTCAAGTTCATCACTTTCGAGCAGCCGTTGATAATCTGCGCATGGCCACGCGATATAGCTTTCATATACGTCCCGTGCAGCCGCGACGCCTGCGCAGCAGCAGCGCACGCTCCGAATTTCATGGCGAGAATGAGATTGAGGGAGCGAGCGCCGCTGCCACTCACCTACCTGGCCAGAGCATCATTATACCCACCAAGGGCTGTAAGTTAAATGGCACCACGTCAGCCACACAAACCCACTTAACCAACTTAACCACCTTAACCGACTGCACCACTTTCAGTCTCGGCCCATGCCACACAGTGTCTGGCGCCTGCTTCCGAAATCGAGGTGGAAACGGGTCCTTACTTCGGCGGTCGCATTGTGGTCGATGGCGGCGATTGTGGCATTAAGGGCAATGCCAACGATCCAGCCGAAAAGTATACGATGCGCATCGATCACAAGCAATGCGGCAGCATGGTGAAACCGGAGACGAACACCGTGGAGACCTTCATTACGGTCCAAGAGAATCTGGGCATCTTCACACACAGCACGAGGCGGTGAGCAGAGAATAACATTATTATGATTCGAATTTAATATAGTACACAATATTACTTTTACTTTAATCTCCTTCTCTAATAATTTGTTTCATAAAAATATTTTTTATATAATTACATTTAAGACAACAATTTTGAAGTATATTTTAAGATTATATATCTCATTTTATCTTCTTAATGTTATAAAAAAAAATGTCCATCATTTTTTCTAAATTTTACTTTCACATTTTCTTCTCTATTTTTCTCTTGTAAAACTAATTTCCTACTAGAAAAAAGTGAAACAAACCTTGCGGTTAATCTTAGAGTGAAGAGAGTAAAGATCAGCATTAATAAAAAGGTTTCATACAGCTACTGTTGGCCTTTCCGCTCTATCAGGTGAAATCTTTGCTCTGGCCTAGGCTAAGCATTTAGATTCAACTTTAAACTCCAAAAAAATTTGTAATTTAAATAAATTCATATCCAGCTATATCTATAAACCTCCCTTATATTTAGAGATGAATTTTCTTTAAACAGTAATTATCAGTTACCTATCATCTTTCAGTCTGTCTTATCTTCAGATGAAGATCAGTTTCTTTTCATATTTGTTTGCCTTTAGTCTATATATAGTTGGTCGATCTGTTAGTCTAGCTGTCAGTTGATTAATCGTTTTATTAATTGTTGGCTCTCCTCATTCTACCCACAGCTTTGTCGTCGTCTGCAGCTACCAGTCGGGCATGCAGACGGTGCGCGCCAGTTTTACAGTGCCTGGCAAGCACGGCGTGGCAGCTGCCATTGAGCCCAACGATCCCTTTCAGCCGGATGATGAGCGGTTGGGTCGCGAGCTGCGTCACATGCGATTCGTGAACAAAAGCGAGCTGGTGTTGAAAGAACCTGAGCCGGAGTCTGAGGAGCAGCCCGCTTTGGTGGTAGAAACACAGCCGCCAGAGCAGCAACAGGAGCAGCAAGAGCAACCGCAGCAGCAGCAGCAGCAGCAGCAGCAGCAGAAGCAACCTTTGTTAATTGCCAGTCGATTGCAGGGACGCGCTCTTAGCCTGGCAAGTCTCAATGAGCTAAACAACTTGGCCAAGTCGCCGGACGAGGAGCAGCTGCTGGCCAGCAAGTATGCCAAGCTGGTTGAGGAACGGACCAAGGCGGATGCTAATGATGTTTATGCTGATGCTGATGATGATGAGTGTAAGTAGATGCATAAATGGCTAGCTCTGACAATCGTGAATTCTATGCTAACCTACTAGCTCTCTCTTTCTCTCTCTATCTCTCTCTTTGTCTCTCTGTAGACTATGCCGCCTCGCTGCGTTATATAAGCGCCAATCTAGGCAGCGTGCTGGTAACTGTTTCCATATCTGTGATAATCATCAGCATTTGCCTCGTTCTGCTGCAGCGACAGCGATTGCCCAACAACAGCAACAACAACTGCAGCGGCAGCAGCAGCAGCAACAGCAACAAGTCGCATTTGACTTCCTTCGGTTGCCCCGTTGCCCATCTGCCGCACAAGACGCTGCCCCGTGCTCTGCAGCAGCAATATCAGTGCACCTTGTAGAGCCCACCTCGCGTTCTTCCCTGCTCTAACTATGCCCACTTGTCTTGCTGAAGCCCCCGGGTAGCCAACGCTGCCTAACCCATTTAGCTGAAGACGACTGCGCATAGTTGGGCCAGTGCCTCCTCCTCCTCCTCCTCCTTTTACTCCACCGCCACCTCCTGCTCAGCATGGCAGCTGGAAAGCTCAACAAACGGTACTTAGGGGATCAGCAGCAGTAACAGCCGTTGCCGCAGCATCCCACACGAAGCTCCTCCTCCAGCTCGATGCTGCGTTTAGTGAACCGTAATTTATGGAAATTTAAAGAAAATACTGTAATCTTAGCTCTACTCTAGACTTTTCCATAGCTGTGCGAATCCATATGATTGCTAGGTATTTACACACTCTGATAGACAGCGGATTAGTGATTAGTATTTTAGACTTAACCTAAGCTAAGTTTTTTGTAAAAACTCTTTTATATATTTATGATGTCCAATATACAAGTATTTATGAAAAAATATATATATTTAAAAAAAAAAAATTACGTGTTTTATTATTTCATTGTGTATATAAAATCATAATAGGCATAACTAAAAAAAAAAAAATTGAAATAAAATTAAAAAGCTGGTATTTTATTTTTAAGCTTGATTTAATTTAAGATTTAATTTTATTTAATTTTAAATAATTGTTCGTTATTAATACCTCATTAATTTTATT